AAAAAAAAAAAGGCTTAGGCAACCTTGAGCAAAAACACTGAAGGGGTAGTGGTCATGCCTATAATCCTATTCAGGAGGCTAAGGTCTGAGGATTGCTCTTCGAAGTCAGTCCAGGCAGAAAAGTTCATGAGATAGTGGGGATGGTGATTAGAGCCCTTCGCAATCTCTAACTTGGCTCCTGTGTTACAGAAGCAACATCCAGGGCAGCGTCATCTGTAACAATGCAGTGATTGAGAAGGGAGCAGATATCAAGGACTGTTTGGTTGGAAGTGGTCAAAGGATTGAAGCCAAAGGTAAATAAGAGTCCAAGTTACAATCACAGATGCTTTTTTTCTTTTTTTTACAGATGCTATTTTGTTTAACAAATTCAGTTTTTATTTTGGTGTTTTTGCTATATAAAAACCATTTATCAGACTATTATTTACTGGGCCTAGTGGAATACCAGTTACTTAGATGAATACAGGAGAATTGCAGTTTAAAGCCAGTCTGGTAAAAAATAATAATAATAATTCAGAAGGCTTTGTCTCACAGAACAAATGAGATATGATGGGGTACAATTGTAATCCCGGTTATGTGGAAGATAGAAGAATTAGCACTGTAGTCTGAGGTTGGACAAATAACAATATGTTGTCCAAAAACATTCCTTAATCAAAAGAGGCTGGGGCATGGTTCAATAGGTAGGTCATTTGGCTAGCAAGCATGGATCCCTGAATTCAAACTTCAATATTATGAGAGACAGACAGACAGACAAACAGAAACAGAGACATAGAGACAGAGACACAGAGAGAGACAGAAATACAGATGCTTTTTTTTTTTTAACCTATTCACATTAGCACAGATAATGCTCAGTGGGCAAGACATGAGAAACCAGCACATTCACACACTGCAAGTGAGAATACAAGTCTATAAAGCCATTTTTGGAAAGCAATTAACATCACTGTCAATATTTTTTTGGTCAGTAATCGGGTTTGAACTGGGGCCTGGGCACTTTCCCTGAGCATTTTTGCTCAAGGCCAACACTCTACCACTTTGAGCCACAGAGCCACTTCTGGTTTTCTGGTGATTAATTGGAGATAACAGTCTCATATACATCTATAAAAAGTGTGCTTGACACAGAGGACAAGTAATGCAGCAGAGACTCTGCAACTAACTCTGTCTTCCTAAATTCCAGGAACATTTCCTCTGACCTGGTTTGGTTTTTTGGCTGGTTGGTTGGTTGGTTTGTTGGGGGGAGGGACTTGCCAATCCTGGGGCTTGAACTTAAAGCCTGGGCACTGTCCCTGAGCTTCTCTTTGCTCAAAGCTAGAACTCTTATCACTTGAGCCACAGCACCACTTCTGGCTTTTTATTTTTATGTGGTACTGAGGAATTGAACCCAGGGCTTCATGCATGCTATGCAAGCACTCTACCACTAAGTCATATTTCCAGCCCCTGACCTGGTTTCTAAGGCAGACAGTCACATAGATTCCCAGTCTGGGAAAGGGTTTGCCATTCTCAATGGCTTAAAGATGATTCTGTAAGCTATGTTGTGAACTTGCTCTGCCCAGCAGCTTATACAAAGATGGTATAATACTGAAAAAACATACAAAAACTGGGTGAAGCTAG